AAAAAACCAAACGATAAATCACCAACCCAGTCAACGCTGAAAGCACCAATTTTTCCCCGAAATTCTTGGCACTCTTTGTGAAATTCTCGGCTCGCAAACCGTCAAGTCAAAGACCAGCAATGGAACATACTCCCCAATCCCTGTTCATTAAAATAAGGTGTACTTATTTCCCAAAAATTTTACTTTTCATTCCAAGTTACAGGATACCTCAAAGTGAATAATGTCTATATAGTATAATGTAATTATCTATTTATACACGCTATGCTGTTGGAATTTGTATTGTAAAATTCGTAAAAAATTATAATTGATGAATACCACAATTTCTATCAACACGAAGCCTTGTGGAATGGTTCTCCCACTCTTTACAAGAGCGCCCCAACATCACTGAGTAAAGAGCACCAAGCATTGTTATCACCACTCATGTATTATATTAGCCTATGATATTATTTATGACTCACGTCATAAATTATTTTATACGTTAAAATTTTTTGGGGCATATAGTGTACACGCCAGTGGGGTTGAAGGGGGGAACGATCACCAGTTAGATAACATCTATATAATATAGGAAGAAGATGTGTACCCACCACCCTGTTTGTATCGTACGTCAACGCACAGTGAGAAATCGAAAGAGAAACGAAGAGTCAATCGGATTCTTCATAAATAGGGATGATGATGAACGAGAAACGGAGTCACAGAAGAACCAGCAACAGTCCGTTCCTTAAATCTCGACTCTCCCCATACTTTGCGTTCTTGGTTGGCTCAAAGTCGTGGGGAAGACTAACGACCGTGGCGTAAATATTTATCACCCCTTTCTTATCTCCCGCGAGACTCCCCTTTGTTTACCTCGGGATAGGTGACAACAACGGCGGCCCCACCTGCACTATCGCCTCATCGCGAACTTACCGCACGGTTGCACCGGCCGATCGCGTGTTTTATACGCGATAAAGAAGTTTCGTCGTGCAGCCTCGGCGATTGTTGGTTTTCCATTTGGAATGGAAGCTGCTGGGGACGGGGGGGGGGGAGAGTTTTCCAGTGAAATTTGCGAGTCCAGAGCTGCGCTGAAATACCCCAGTGGGTCTCTCGTACATGACAAATGCCGTCTATTTGCATAATGAGCGCGTAGTTGGGTTCTTCCCTTCGCTGCTGCTTATTTTACCTTCTTTTTTCCGAATGAAGAAGGGGTGCGTATAGTGTTTGGAGACGAGATGAGTTATCATCGCGACGTCGTTCTCGGCTGCTCTCGGTGCGGCGTATATATTTCGGGGACTTTCGTTTGCGCGGAGCCATCCTTTAACTCGCCTCGGAGACTTTTGCCGTCGAATTTATCTTTTTGCGACGGGAAAATGTAATTGCTGCCAGAAAAGTGTTTGCAATGACTTTTTTCGTACAGCCTGGTGTGTGATTTTGCCTTTTATTTTTTTTATTAGTTTAATGAAATAAAGGAGTAGTGCTCAAAATTCTATATGTATAAGAAAGAGCATGATGATTCGGAGTGTAAATAAATTATTTTTATGGAGTAACCATTAAACTTTACAGTGGATCCGAGTAATTTTATGGTTTGATAAATTATAGGTATAGCTTTATACTCAACCTTATAAGCTAAGTTTTTTATCGTCAGTGGACAAGCTTTTTTACGCAATTTCGTGTCACTGATGGATGTAATATCAAAGTCCAGTATACTTTTGAAAGCAGATGCATCATAAACAAATGATGAACAGAATTTTCAAATGCAAGTTTTATTACAACGTTATTACAAATCAATCTTATTGCATCAGCAAACAATAAGCGATACATTTTATAAAAAAAAAAAAAATTAACAATTTTAAATACCCACAATTGGTTATTCTTTGCATACTGGAATAAGAATAAGACAACATTGGGGTAATGCACATACTGATGTTATACAAAACTAGTTCTTCAACAACAGTACACAAGTCAGAACTGTTCATTGGAGAAATACAAGGAGTTAGTAGAACTTTGTCGAAGTAACTTCAGGTGCAGCAAAAGACTAAGCTTGGTCTAGATGCAGGAGAACTTCGTAAGCCTCTTCAGCTAGTCATTGTGCAATGAAGTTATACTCTTATATGGAACAGAGTCCTACTTTACATTTTAACATTTACATTTATAATAATAACTAATTCAAGTATTTTGATTAACAATAGTACGCTACAGTGCAAAAAATTTAAAAACACTAGACGTATGGTAAGTTGGACAAAAGATAGGAGTAGTATCAACAAAGTAATTCTTTCGTATGAATTGGTTACTGTAATAGTAGTCACAGTCTTACTTTTGAGGGACCTAAATGAATTTCAAATAGCAGTTTGATCAATATAATGGATTACGGTATTGCATACATTTTAAAATAGTTAAAAAGAAAAAAAATGATTTCGCTAATATGGTTCTACGTCAAAGAAGTATAATGTCAAACTGACCGATTTGTTTTATTCTCGAGCCAATTCCATTTAAATGAAAAATTTCTTTCTTTGCGAACAAAATTCTGCCTAAAAGCCGCAATTGTTGGTACACGTTTCTCAAAGCTCCTAGAGGCCACAGTAAAAAAGATAATAGGCAGGGAATCTCTAAGAAGCTCGGTAGAGTTTATACAGACAGCTCCGTAAGAGTAGAGGTCTGCAAAGTGAACCAGATAAATGATTTGCAATAAATTTTTACGGCTTAGACTCCAGGCTACTGCTTATTTATACGCGTAGATACGCGCGTACTTTATACACATCTGGGGTGAGCGATGAGAGAATTATGCCAGAACAGGCAAATTTTGCAGTGAAATATTATTCTCAGTTGTTAAGATCTTTAAGAGTAATAGAATAGAAAAGAAAAACATTTGAGTTATAGAATTTTTTTTGACATTGTCAATTGCATGAATTAAAGCCTCTTGTTTTGCTGTGTTATGCAGTCATAAGTTCTTAATGATTATATAAATGACCGATTAAAAATTAAGTCGTGGTGAATGATTTTATTAATTTTTTTCATACGTGTGCAGCACAATACGTTATTTCAATGTCTGAATATATACACACACTCTTACACTCCTTGTATCTTAAACTCTTTATAACAATGTTTTTCTAGAGCATATTTATTCCAACCTCATTTAGATAAGAGAACATACGTATTCGTGATCATACCACAAACGTTTCCCAAAGTTCATCCGAACGAATATTGAGGCTCTCGTCGCGTCTGACCACACGCACACTCGTACTATTTGTTGATCTGTTGAAAATCGTATCATGTGAAAGATCATGTTCGGATAAAAGATATATCCGTGATTATACCACAAACATTTTCCAAAGCTCATCTGCAGTAATCTCGTTCCTCTCATCACACCTGATCACGCGTACACTCATACTACTTGTTGACATGCTAAAAATTATACGTGCGAAAAACTTTATTTAGATAAGAGACCATAATATATATCTGTGACCACATCACATATATTTCCCAAGTTCACCAGTACTAATTTCGATCCTCTCATCCTGTCTGACCAGACGCACACTTGTACTACTTGTGGATCCTTTTATAATCGTTTAGTGCGAAAAACTCTTTTAGATGAGAAAACATAATATATATCTGTGATCACATCCCAAATATTTCCTAGAAGTTCATCTCTACTAATTTCGATCCTCTCATCCTGTCTGACCATACGTACACTCGTACTAATTGTTGATACTCTGAAAATGGTATCGTGTGCCAATACTCGTTTAGATAAGATAGCATATATATTTGTGACTACAACGCAAATATTTTTCAAAGTTCATCTGCACTAATCCCGAGCCTCCTGCCATGCCTTACCACACGCACACTTTTACTACTTGTTGATACACTAAAAACCGTCCGTAATCTTGTTTGGATAAAAGAACGTAATATATATCCGTAATCACATCACAAACATTTCCCAAAGTTAATCGGCACTAATTTCAATCCTCCCATCCCGTATGACCTTACTCAGACTAGTACTACTTGTTGATCCATTAAAAATCGTATCGTGTGAAAAACCTTGTTTGGATAAGAGATACATCCGTGATCACACCACGAACATTCCCAAAGTTCATTTACATTAATCCCGAGCCTCTTGTCGCGCCTGACCACACACATACTCGTACTACTTGTTAGTGCACTAAAAGTCGTACCGAGTGAAAAAAAATCTCCCAGCAAAACCACACTTCACATCAGCACGAACACCACCCCCCGCCTCCCCTGAACCACACCCTATACAATTCAAAAGTGAAATCTCCTTTCCGACGATGGCTGCAAAACACGAAACCACATCCGAGCAACTCGCTCGCACAGTCCCCGGATTCCTCGTACGAATTTGGACGGTCCACGCGCACCTTTTGCTTATTACAAACTCGCCTGAGCGCTCATGGCAAAAGTGATCGACGCCGCAGCTGCGAGAGAAGAGTTGACAAACTCCACAGAAGCGTGTACTGCTCGAACTGTCCAACTAATGTGACCCGCTGCGTTCTACTCGTTTCCTCTGAATGTCACACGCATAACTACCGCAGTGCTGTGTGGCGTCGATATTTAACCCAATTAGTTGAGGCAAAATGAGAAAATGACGAGACAGATGGACGTGGGGGTAATAATAGCACCCAGTTGCTTTTAATTTGAAGGTCTCATACTCATAGATGACCTTTTGTTTCTGGTATAGTTATCCATGAGCTCTAGATTGCGAATGAAATAGAGTCGAGCTCCGAATAGCAGCTGTGAGTGATTGGTCCATCGGAGCGATGAATTTTTAACGTGCCCCTTCGTCGAACTTGGAGATCGATGTATAAGCACAAAGGGTCGATTTTTCGCAAGATTTTCCACAACGCCAGGGAACACGTTTCAATACCATCCCAATATTTTTAAAAGCTTTTGCAGTGTGATAAAAGGGGACAAACGTGGAGGGTCTTGCATGTATATAACATTAATTTGTATTAATGGGAGCAGCGCCAGTCGAGGATCACCCCCCAAGGATTTAATCGCATTATCGTAAAACTTACCTTCAAGGGTGGCCTTCCGGGATCTTTTTTCAGCTCCGCGTAGCGCCGCTCGAAACTGTCGTCCCAGTACTCGCGGCTCCTCATCCACGATGGCTGCAACAGAGAAGAAGAAAAAAAAACATTGTCATTTCATGTAATAAATATACTCTGTAATCTCCGTGGAAGAGTCGAAGGGGGGAAGGAAAGCGGGGTGTAATGAAACTATAAATTTTTGCATTGTTTAATCAGGCGTCCCAAGCAATATTGTCCCGGTAGACGAGGGACTTAATTTTGTCTCCATCTCTGTTGTAAATTAGAGGGTTAATTTCGCTCTGTACTTGTAAAAGATGAAGAAGAAGAAAAAAAACTGAGAGAAGAGGTACAGAGTCGCAGAGATATTAAACGTATTTCAATAAAGTGCGACGAGTGGGGCACAAATGACTTCCTCCCCGGCCTTTTTCCCACGTTGTACTTTTCGAGGAACAGGGGCTACAAAAAATGTGGAAAAAAAGTTGTAGGGAAGCAAAGTGATAGAACACACGTGGCGTATCTACACAGCCGCTGCGAGTTTTTTTTTTTTTTTTTTGGGGTAAGGGGGGCACGGCTGGCTTTTAATCGCGACCAGATAGCCAATAAGTGATTTTCCCTCGCAGCCGGTCCTTCCGAATTTTATCGTCATTGTGCTCGAGTTGTGTTGCCAGGGAGTGTCGGGCATGAAAAAAAAGATAAAGCCACGCGAGTTTTTGAACACAAAAAAAAATGGGAGAAAACAAAAAGCTTAAAGTTTTTTTCCCTTTCATTCGTTTTTCGAAAAATCATGCCAGTTCTTTTTTCAGTCGACGTGGGTTAGCGTTTACCTGTGAAACTGCGCCCAATAGTAAATGAAGGCCTCTAACGACACACCACCGTCGCCCCCGATATTCTACTTCTCTTTTTCTCTTGACATAAAAATCGGGAACTGCGCGTGAACTCTTTTTTTCCCTACCCAACGTAGTCATTAAATTTTTTTTATTAACGTTCTATGCCATTCAGTTTTTTTTGTCGTGATACTTGAATTTTTCATATTTAACTTTTATCATACCCTCTTATTTTTAACCTCTTTTTTGTCTAAGCTTCTCTAAGTACTGTACCGTATAGCGCATACAATTATTTATTTTTCTTGTTTGTAAATAACACGATTGTTTGCCGCTCTCGAGATACGTTCTGTTGGTACTTTGTGCAAAAAACGAGTAAGTATCAACAAAACGTTATGGGTTCATTTGGATGTGTAATTCGATAAAATTTAGTTTGTTTCGTTGCAATAAAGCGCTCAATAAAGGTCTTGCCATGATTAGTACAAGGGTTAAGGTAAATCTTTGGAAATATATGTGGCTTTCTTTGTTTCTGTGCCATTGGCCTGTCCTACGACCAACATCACGTGCACGTACTAGCAAACATTCAGTTTATGCCAAGTACTAATAATCGCGAAGATCTGTGCACCCTCAAAGTCAGTCAATAAAATAAAAGACTTTGAAGCCAAAAAAAAAATATTTTGAAGTCACGTGAAGGCTCTACAGCCATTTAAAGTCATCTAATGAAATTGTAGGCATTCGAGGTCGTGAACCCACTCTGAAAGTCCAAGAAATTAAATTAAGAAGGTGAAAACTTGTCTGCACTTTTGAGGGCAACGTTTCTTTGTTTCAAATATACGTTTCTGTAACATTTTGAGAATAGATACTGCCAGAAAATGACATTTCATTCAGAGTTGCATCGAGACTTTTGTCACGTGCTTCAAGTTTATGTATATAGCTTAACACCACTAACAAAAATACCAAACGAACCTTCGCACGAGGAATGAGAACTTTACTCCACTCACGAAAAATCTCCCCTCCCCCACCCCGTAAAAAGAAGCCTCCCTCCATGATCCACTATCTCCGATGGAATATCTCCCCCAAAACTTCCAAATGAACCTCACCAAACCCCGCCACTTGCCATGCCAACGAGGCCTGCATTGTGTACAGCCACGTAGCACAGGCTCCTCTTTGCCACCACCCCCTTGCCCCCTTTTTGACCATACAAATACCGATCAACTTTCAAAAGCCGAACCCCTCCCCCCCCTATCTTTCGTACGTCAATACACGCACTGCATGCACAACAGTGGAAGAGGGTTACTTTCATCATTCTGTGGCAGTACATATAGTAAAGCGTCGTCGATTCCTTCACCAAAGAGGATGACAGGGGGTGATACTACTTTTGTAAAATCACCGCATCTCTATTTTTGTTTGGTCCTTTTTTCTTTGCCCAACAAATAATAACCCACGAGCTATAGGCATGACTAACGAGACGGCTCCCCTGTGATCATCACCGAGGGGGCCCACACGCGCGGTTCGACGAGCGCGACGTGCCATACTCGACACTCAAAGAGCCGAAAAAATAAAAAAAAGTGTACGACACAAAGCCCCCTTCAGTGGCAGCTATTACGTAGCCTCCCTGCTCCTGGCTAATAGGACCAGGTCCGCGGAAACGCGTCGCCAGCTCTAATGCGCCATAATTTCATGTCGCCCGTACTATGTACCGCGCGTATACTTAGCTTCCGCTTCGCTTTCCTTCTCTCTGTTTCATATGCATTGAGTTCTTCGCGCCCGCATAATTTGCAGTATTACTACACAAGTGTTTGGAGCTTCGACATCTCGGTTGTCAGTGCAATGGCTGTTTGTTACTTTGGCAGGCTATCGCGGAGCAGTATAAATATGGAAAGTCGAAGCGCGTTGCCTCGGGATTGGATGTCGAAACAATGAAGGGTCGTTGCACTGCTTTTCATCGAGACATCGTCAAAATCTAGAATAAACCATCAGAGTTTCGCTACGAAATTCAAGTGGAACGTCAATGATGTTTCGGACCCCCTCCCCCTTGATAGTCGACAAATTTGATGGACCGTGGACGCGCTGATGTTTAGGATTATTGTATTGTATGATTAATCAATGATTAATGCGCGGCTAATTAAATGAGTCGCTTTCGTTGAAACGCTATTGTGTTGTTGCGCGTTGCTAATTGGATTGCGTGGATAAATACACGATATTGCGAATTCGTTCGAATTTTGCGGTATTGGATTTTGCAGTATTTTGTAGTATTGGAAATATTTTTATTTATTTCTAGATTAGTTCAAGTGGCTTGCCTTTGCGACATAATTGCTTTGATGATTCGGGTTTGATGAGTCATGTTTAATTGAAAGTTGATGTGAGAGATGTTATCTACCTGGTGTACCGCTAATGATTATTTAATCGTTATTAATACAGACATGAAAAGGATTTTAAAGACATGCTTTATCTCTTTTCGTTTGTTTTTATTTTAGCTTTCCAATCAACCTTGATACCATACATTGTTATACCGAACTAATCATGATAAACTGAACATTCATTATGTCAAGGTTAATTGGAAAGTAAAAATAAAAACAAGCCAAAAGTGATAAAGATCGGTTAGAGTTTCCGGATTTATATGTTAATGAGTGTTCGTTCTATCATAATTATTTCGGTGTAACGATGTATGATCTCAAGGTTAGTTGGAAAGTAAAAATAAAAACAAACAAAAAAAAGTAGACATCGACGAGTTTCCGTAGTTTACCGTCAAAGTCTTGACTATAGTTATGGTTATGATAAACTGAACATTCATTTATGAATACCCAAGTCTTCGAACGATGTGTCAAATACTGAAAATCTAAATGTTAAAATAATACACTTGAATGCAAAAAGTTCGGGGTGACGTTTTCCAGTGTATTGATTTTCTTAGTCTTACTGTTAGTAGTATTTTTTAATGTTATAAGCTTCTATAGCTTTTTCAAGGTCTTTGCGCAGCTTGAATGTATGTTTATTATCGTATTGACTCGGTTCAACGGTCTTCCTTGTGCATGAATTTCTTAGAATTTGAACGGCCTTGGCCTTGTTTACTACGTCACCGAAATATAGATCAATGCATATGTATATATGTAGCAAATGGGAAATTCATATTTAGTATGTATTAATTTGAATTTGATGTATTTACAATATTACATTACAATATAGAATTTAAGGGGCGAAACGTTATGTAGACTTCATCAAACACGGACCATGAGTCATACATATGGATGCTTTGCATATTTCATAATCAAGAAGGAGTAAGGACATGGTAGAAATGTTCTTGGTGTCAGCAATGCTAGTGCTTTCACGCGAACTATTTCGGAAAGATTTTTGGGTGCCCACGAAAGGTGTACTTATCTTGTGCTTCTAACGGCTACTCCTTTTCACAAGGACTAGTTGTTCCCACTGTTGTCTTCTCGTTGATTCAACGGTGATTATCTTAATCACAAGATAGTGGTCTATATGATATTTGAAGAAAGAAGTAAAAGAAAGGTATGAAGCATATAGATGGACAGACGAAATTTAGGGTACGAGCCCAAAAGTCGTCTCTACTACATTCATATATATATATGAACACTAAGACAGCCGCTTAGAAACACAGTAGATGGAAATGCCACTACGGAAACCGCGTTGTGGCTGCATGATTAAATAATGGTTGATCGTGAATGCCATTTTCCTCTTCATCGATAACAAGAGAACCCATAAAAGAAGGGATTTGGGAATCAGAATGTAAAAGATTGTTACTTTTTTTTTTTTCATTACTAGAATTAAGAAAAACAAGTGAGAAGATCAAAATTTTGTCCGTGAAATGAGAAAAAGCTTTGTATTCTTTAAGTTAACTTTTCTGTTAACTTACCTTGAACCAGCAGTGTTATTTAAAATTGTAAATGTTTTCATAGATAATACAGTTGACTTTTAAATACTAATACGGTAAGTATGCAAAAACTTGGACATTGGTTTATACCATATCAAATGAAATTCCAGAGAAAAGTCATAAATATCACACCACAGAATTATTAAAAAAACAACAAAAGAAGCTATTATTTTTACAAAACTGCATCTACTTGAAGTTTAACTGTAACATTATAGAAGTAAATACATCTGTATTCGTGTACTGTCAGTTTGTAAGTTTGTTCATCTTTTTTAACTCTTATCTCACTATTCATGTGATTAAAATAAACGCTATCAGCTTGATAAAAAATAATCTTTGACAAAGCACTTATGATAAAATCATTTTTACAA